TACTGTTATCCCACCCTCACCCCCTATTTGGGATATCATTATCCCAACCCTCACCCCCTATTTGGGATACCGTTATCCCAACCCTCACCCCCTATTTGGGATATCATGATCCCATCCCTCACCCCTATTTGGGTGTTATCCCAACCCTCACCCCTTATTTGGGATATCATTATCCCACCCTCACCCCCTATTTGGGATACCGTTATCCCAACCCTCACCCCCTATTTGGGATATCAGTATCCCAACCCTCACCCCTTATTTGGGATATCATTATCCCAACCCTCACCCCCTATTTGGGATACTGTTACCCCATCCCTCACCTCCTATTTGGGATATCATTATCCCAACCCTGTTCCCTATTTGGGATACCGTTATCCCAACACTCACCCCCTATTTGGGATACTGTTATCCCACCCTCACACACTATTTGGGATACCGTTATCCCACCCTCACCCCCTATTTAGGATATCAGTATCCCATCCCTCACCCCCTATTTGGGATACTGTTATCCCAACCCTCACCCCTTATTTGGGATATCATTATCCCACCCTCACCCCCTATTTGGGATACCGTTATCCCAACCCTCACCCCCTATTTGGGATACTGTTATCCCACCCTTCATCCCCTATTTGGGATACCATTATCCCATCCCTCACCCCCTATTTGGGATACTGTTATCCCAACCCTCATCCCCTATTTGGGATACCATTATCCCATCCCTCACCCCCTATTTGGGATACTGTTATCCCAACCCTCTCCCCTATTTGGGATGCCGTTATCCCACCCTCACCCCCTATTTGGGATACTGTTATCCCAACCCTCTCCCCTATTTGGGATGCCGTTATCCCACCCTCACCCCCTATTTGGGATACTGTTATCCCAACCCTCTCCCCTATTTGGGATATCATTATCCCACCCTCACCCCCTATTTGGGATACCGTTATCCCAACCCTTTCCACTCCCCTCTTACCCTGCAGGGTCCCTGCTCCGCGCTCTCTGGGCTGGGATCTGGGGACAGCTCATCCTTTATAATGTCCCTGCGGGAGGTGGCACCTTCGGGAGGTGGAGCTCGGCCATTCCAGTGGGTCCCATCCTGCACCTCACAGGGGCACGGGATTGACCCAGCGCCTGCTCCCAGCAATGAGCACCTTATCCCAGCCCTTCAGAGGGGGGAGACCCAAAATCACCCCCAAAACCCTTGGGAAAGGGGCAACAGCAGCCTGGATGGATGATTCCGAGCTGGGAACACCTGGGATGAAGGAATCGGGCTGTTCAGCTCACTGCTGCATCCCGGGATGCAGGATGTGAACCCCAACATCTCCTGCAGCATCAGGGATGTGTGGCTGAGCCGGGATGCGGGATGCTGATGGGAGCTTGGGCATCGGGGCATCAACACCCCCAAAAGCACCAGGAGCTGATAACTGAGGGGGGTTTCCACACAGGACACATCCCAACCCTGCCCATGGGGGTCAGGGCACCCCAAGACCCCTCTGGGGTGCTCCAGGAGGGTGCTTCCCCCCCCAATCCCTGGGTTGAGCCACTGGGATGCTACAGGACTGGTGCTGAGCCCCATTTGCATCCCATTATCATGGGCACCGGTGCCTGGCTCATCCCCAGGGCCCTGCTGCCTGACCCCGGGTGAGTGAGCAGGACCTGGGTGCCCTCAGTGCTGGCCACTGTGGCCACAGTAAGTGGCCCATTTCAACGCAAGGCAGAAGGGATGAGGAGAGGTCGCGGCTTTCCAGCTCTGAGCTGCCTAATTCCCAATTAAGGAGGCGCAAGGAGGGACTGGGATAATGGCCTCGGCATTAGGGCTTGTCCACAGCAGAGGAACTGATTCAGCTCTTAATTGTGGTAACGAAGGCAAAGGGCTGGGGTGAGCAGGAGCTGCGTGGCTGCATCCTCGGTGCTGTTTCTATAGGGACCCGTTGGTGACGTGGTCCAGGGCATCACGTCCAAGCTGCAGCGCAGGAGCCAGCAGGGAAATGTGGGGATTTGGGCCTTTGCCAATGGGGCTTGGTGTCTCCAGGCTCTCTCAGTGCAGTCAGGGTGGGATTGTGGTCGCCATCATCCCAAAGCAGATTGAACCCAGCACTGAGCATCTCCCACCGCAGGCAGGGATGGGTGGGAAGGACCCACTGTTTCCCACCCCAAATCCCATGGATGATCCCAGTGGAGGATTGGGGTTCGTTTTGCTCCCATCAGAGGGGATTTTGAAGCCAAGGGAAGCACGATGCCTCTCACCCCTCTCCTCCATCCTGTTGCCTTCCTCATCCCATCCCAAACCACACCAGAAGGATCCCAATCAGAACATGCAGCAACAAGCCACAGCCTTGAGGGACTGGCAGAGAAGGGCCCCAAACTGATCCACAACCTCTGCACGTTTCCCTCAGCCATGGCTGCCCTCGTCACCAAGGAGCAAACCAACACCTTGGCCTTGACCTCACGTCCTCGACCTCCGGCTGTTGGTGTGGGAAGCAATTCCTTGTGGTTCTTAAGGCAGACGGGTGACGCTGGTGCCGGAATGTGTAAGCAGGAGCTGGCACTATATATCCAGGGCTGCTTGTCCAGAGGGGAAAGCTGGGAAGGCTCCCAACCCGCAGCCATGCCCTGCAAGGTGCTCGCTGTCTGCCTCTTGGGGCTCTTGGCGCTCTCCTCCGCTTGCTACATCCAGAACTGCCCCATCGGGGGCAAACGCGCTGTCCTGGATATGGACATCAGGAAGGTGAGTCCCATCCTTTCCTCCTCCCAACGCTCCCCGGTATCCATGATGCTGGTAGATGGTGGGAAGGGACCAAGGGGAAGGCTCAAGCGCTGCGCACTGACTGGAGGTGCCTCTCCCCTGTGGCTGTTCCCGAGCAGTGCCTGCCCTGCGGCCCCAGGAACAAGGGCCGCTGCTTCGGACCCAACATCTGCTGCGGGGAGGAGCTGGGCTGTTATCTGGGCACGTCGGAAACGCTGCGGTGCCAGGAGGAATCCTTCCTGCCCACCCCCTGCCAGGCCGGACACAAACCCTGCGGCACCGGCGGAGGGACCTGCGCGGCCCCCGGCATCTGCTGCAGCACCGGTGGGTCCCATGTGTCCCATGGGGATCTGCTTTGGGGTGGGGAGCGGGGGATGTTTCCCAAGGGATGTGCTTTGTGCTGTCCATCTGGTGAGGGAGCTGGGGGGTTCAGTCTGGAGAAGAGAAGGCTCAGGGGGGACCTGATGGCTGCCTCCAACTGCCTGACAGGAGGATGGAGCCAGGAGGGGCTGGGCTCTGCTCCCAAGGAACAAGGGATGGGACAAGAGGAACCGGCCTCAAGCTGCACCAGGGCAGGTTTAGATGGAGCTGAGGAACAATTCCTGCCCCAGAGGGTGCTCAGGCATTGGAACAGGCTGCCCAGGGCAGGGCTGCAGGCACCGGCCCTGCAAGTGTTCACACAGAGTGGAGACGAGGCCTCAGTGCCATGGGTTAGTGGTGGCCTTGGCAGTGCTGGGAATGGTTGGATTAGATGAGCTTAAAGGGCTTTTGCAACCAAGCCGATTCCATGACCTGTCCATCCACCCAGGGCAGGATCGATCCCAGCAGCAGGGAGGGTGATAACAGACCTTGAGGTTTCAGGGATAGAAGCAGGCAGACAGCAACCAGGGGCTGAGCAAGCAGCAGGGCTCCTGTGGTGCACAGCAGTCCATGCCCCCTCCTGCTTCCATCACGCTTCTCCAGCCTCCTCCCTAGACACTACCAGAGATCCCACCACAGATCCTGGGGAGCTTCAGGACACGGCCCTGTTATTCAACCCCATGCAATCACAATCCACACCAGGGGGGCTCTGGGGGCTGGTTCTTGCTGTCTCGCTCCATCCCCTTTCTCCCCCCATGCAGAGGGCTGCCTGGTTGACTCATCCTGCGACCAAGAGACGCTGTTTGCATAGAGCACCCTGGGGAGAAGAAACCCTCCAGGATCCCTTATCCATCACTGCAGCAGCCCCATGGCAGGTCGGGAGCAGAGGAGGCAAGTCTGTGACTCAGCCTGGAGTGATGCTCATCATTGGAAATAAAGCTTGTACAGAAAAACAATCACAAGGGGCTGTGGAGTTTATGGGATGAAAGGGGTTGGGTGCAGGCTGGGGAGGGTGGGATGGAGGGGAAAAGGTGGGTTTAAGGAAGGGATGGGATGCAGAGGGACCTGGACAGGCTAAAGAGGGGGGGACTGTGTGAACCTCAACAAGTGCAAGGTCCTGCACATGGGGCAGTTCAATCACAAGGAGCAAAGACAGCCTGGGGAAGATTGGGAAGAGCAGCCCTAAGAAGGACTCGGGGGTATTGGCTGACCTCATGGAGCAGGTCCAGAGGAGGCTATGGAGATGCTGCGAGGGCTGGAGGGGGCTGCAGGAAAGCTGGAGAGGGGCTTGGGACAAGGGCCTGTAGGGCCAGGCCAAGGGGAATGGCTTGAACCTGCCCAAGGGGAGACTGAGCTGAGCTCTTAGGCAGAAGCAGCTCCAGGTGATGAGCAAAATAAGGCTGAAGGAAGAGACACATGAATGCCAGTATCAGAAAGGATTCTGCACGTGCTCTCATTTAGCCACAGCCCAGATGTGCTTTAAACCCTCCTTTGCACAAACAGGACCAACAGGTCCCTTGGCCACAGCAGGAACCAGCAGCACAATGAATTCTTACCCCCTAACAACATAAAGGGGAGGGTTGGTGCTTCCTACTAAGCCACTCAGACCTGTTTTCCTTCATAAGAACCTATCGGGGTGGAGAAACAGCCCCAGGGAGCGCAGAGCCAGGATGTGCCTTGGGATCGTTCCTGTTTTCCACCCCCTACACGTTTGGTGTGAAAACAGCAGGGATGCTGTGGGAGGTGCAATCCCAGAGGCAGAGCAGGAGGCACACCAACACCAGCAGCTCCTCAGGCAGCAGGGCTGGGACTCGCTTGTTGTGAGCCCAAGTTTCTCCCTCACCCTCCTTCCCGCAGGCATCATCCCTTCCGAAGAACAGAGCCAGAGCCACAGGGGTGCTCTCCACCACTTCCAGGTGGATTTATCCATTGGAAGGAAAGAAACTGGCTCCTAAGTGGAGCTCTTAGGACAACACTGTCCGCTTGACAATGCGCCCGTCCTTGTCGATGGCAAAGTTGTAGTTGCGGGGATTGTCCAGGCACTCCTCGATCCGGGCATCCAGGTTCTCCAGGGTGATGAAGGTTTTGGCTTCTTCCTAAAGGAAGGACAAGGAGCAGCTCTTAACACATGGCCGAGGCACCACGGGAGCTGCTGGTGCTCCGAGAGGCCCTGTAGTGCCACTGGATCTCAGCAGGAGCTGCATCCAACTGTTATTGCCTCCCTTGGGATGATTCCACCCTGTTCTAGAGCTCTCACTCAGCCCCCATCCCATCCACACGCTGTCAACGCTCCTGAAGGTGCCAACATATGAATCCCTAAGGGAATAAAGCCTCCAGCTTCATACAGCTCCCAGGAGCTGCCATCAAACCCCACGCAGGCAGCGTTGCGCTGCTCTCACCTGGAGCCGGAGAACTTCCTTCTCCCTCTCCTTGAGGAAAGCCTCCCTTTTCCTGGCTTGGGACTCGGCAGCCTTCAGCTTCTGCCTCCTCTCCTCTTCTGCTTCTTTCCTGAGTCGTTCCTCCCTGCCATAGGGAAAGGAAAACAAGATGATTGCTCACGCTCTGTGGGGTGGCATGCTGCTGAGACACATCATCCCTTGGGATGAAAAGCAGAGCCAGAACAGATGGGAAGGAGCAGCACAGCCGGGATGGAGAGCCCGGGCTGAACTCAGCATGGGGATGGAGAGAATTCCATCCTTCCCTGAGAGGGAAAATACAGGGAAATCTTAATGGAAAAGCTCTCAAAGAGACTGGCGATGCTGTGAGTGCTGCAGACCTGAGACCCAGCAGGGCCTGGCTCCATTTGGGAGCTCCAATGGGATTCTTCCAGCAGGATGTGGAAGCTCAAATGCTTTGGCTGTGGGGATGGGCCTGATGGGCTTTTCCCTTCAGCCTCGCCCTGTTCTCCAGGTTCCTTGGAAGCACGGACACACTTCCAGGGTGTCCCGAGGACACTTCCCACGTCTGACCAGAGGATGGCGCGGGAGGGAAGGTGGAGAAACCTGCTCCCGCTGACAGTGACCTCTGCAGGGGAGCAGGAGGTGTCCAGATGGGCAATAAAGGACAAAGCTTAGGCCACAGAACCCCAGACCGGTTTGGGTTGGAAGGGAGCTTAAAGCACCTCCAGCCCCAACCCCTGCCACGGGCAGGGACCCCTTCCACTAGAGCAGCTTGCTCCAAGCCCCTGTGTCCAACCTGGCCTTGAGCACTGCCAGGGATGGGGCAGCCACAGCTTCTCTGGGCACCCTGTGCCAGCGCCTCAGCACCCTCACAGCGAAAGGGTCAAGGATAAAAGTGTCTTTGTAGAAACGAAGCTGCCTCTCCTTAAACTGAATTTAGCTCTGTGCAAGCAGATCTTGAAGGCACAAAGGGCAGGAAGCCTGCAGAGGTAAGAAGCCTGCTTTAAACCAAGAGGAACCGGCCTCAAGCTGCACCAGGGCAGGTTTAGATGGAGCTGAGGAACAATTCCTGCCCCAGAGGGTGCTCAGGCATTGGAACAGGCTGCCCAGGGCAGGGCTGCAGGCACCGGCCCTGCAAGTGTTCACACAGCGTGGAGACGAGGCCTCAGTGCCATGGGTTAGGGGTGGCCTTGGCAGTGCTGGGAATGATTGGACTGGAGGAGCTGAGGTCCCTTCCAGCCCAGTTCACTCCACTCCTCCCCAGTGCTGACCTGCGCGCCCGCTGCCGCGCGTTCTCCTCCTGGTTCCAGGCCATGAGGCTCTGGTGCTCCTGCAGCAGCTGGGCCGAGTCCTCCCCGCTCAGCTGAGCCGCCCGCTTCTTCTGCAGCACCTCGGCCCTGAACTCGGCCCTGCAGGGACAAGCACGGGGGAGGCTGCTCAGCTCCTGCCTGCCACTGAGCACCCTGGGGGGGTCTCCTAAACCTGCCCCACAGCCAGCCCAGCCCCACTGTGACCTAGGGGGTGCAAACACCCCTACTGCTCCAGAGACCCCAACCGTTTCCTGCCCCACAGCAGCCCCATACATTGACATCCACCCCCACACCACAGCAGCCCAACATGGCCACAAGCCCAATGCTTCTCTGCTTCAGGGGTGCCCCACTGCCAGCCCCCAAACCCCCCTGTGTCCCATTGTAGCCCCACTGACAAGTTCCCTGCCCCACAGCCAGCCCCATACCCACAGTCACTGACAGCCCCCAACCCCCCCCTGCCCCACAGCAGCCCCACAACCAGCCCATGTCCCATAGTAGCCCCATACATTGACATCCAACCCAACATCCAGCCCCATACCCACAGTCATTGATGGCCCCCAACCCTCCTGTGCCCCACTGCAGCCCCACTGACAAGTCCCTTGCTCCACAGCAGCCCCACAGCCGGCCCCATACCCACAGTCACTGACAGCCCCCAACCCTCCCCTGCCCCACAGCAGCCCCATACATTGACATCCAACCCCACATCCAGCTTCTCTGCTTCACAGGTGCCCACTGCCAGCCCCCAAACCCTCCCACCGTAGCCCCACTGACAAGTCCCCTGTCCCACAGCAGCCCCACAGCCGGCCCCATACCCACAGTCATTGACTGCCCCCAACCCTCCCCTGCCCCACAGCAGCCCCACAACCAGCCCATGTCCCATAGTAGCCCCATACATTGACATCCAACCCAACATCCAGCCCCATACCCACAGTCATTGATGGCCCCCAACCCTCCTGTGCCCCATTGCAGCCCCACTGACAAGTCCCTTGCTCCACAGCAGCCCCATACCCACAGTCACTGACAGCCCCCAACCCTTCCCTGCCCCACAGCAGCCCCATACACTGACATCCAACCCCACATCCAGCTTCTCTGCTTCACAGGTGCCCACTGCCAGCCCCCAAACCCTCCCACCGTAGCCCCACTGACAAGCCCCCTGTCCCACAGCAGCCCCACAGCCGGCCCCATACCCAGTCATTGACTGCCCCCAACCCTCCCCTGCCCCACAGCAGCCCCATACATTGAAATCCAACCCCACATCCAGCCCCACCCCACAGCAGCCCAACATGGCCACAAGCCCAACGCTTCTCTGCTTCACGGGTGCCCCACAGCCAGCCCCAAACCCCCCTGTGCCCCACTGCCAAGTCCCCAGCGCTCCCCTGCCCCACAGCCAGACCCACTGCCCGCCCCATAACCCCTCTGTGCCCCACTGCAGCCCCACTGCCAAGTCCCCAGCGCTCCCCTGCCCCACAGCCAGACCCACTGCCCGCCCCATAACCCTCCTGCGCCCCACTGCCAAGTCCCCAGCGCTCCCCTGCCCCACAGCCAGACCCACCGCCCGCCCCATAACCCCCCTGTGCCCCATTGCAGCCCCACTGCCAAGTCCCCAGCGCTCCCCTGCCCCACAGCCAGACCCACCGCCCACCCCATAACCCCCCTGTGCCCCATTGCAGCCCCGCAGCGGCCCGGTCCCGGGGCGGTACCGGAGCGCTCCGAGCACCAGGCGGTGCTGCCGGTACCGCTCGGTGATCACCACCAGCTCCTCGGGGTCCACGGGCGGCGGCTCCTTCACCCGCGACGCCTTGGACTTGGCGGGGGGGTCGTACCGCGTCTTGCGGCCCCGCGCCGGGACGAGCCCCGGGCCCCAGCAGGGGCCGGAGCCGGGACCGAGCCCAGGGCCGAGGCCTGGGCCTGGTGCGGGGCCCAAGGCCGGGCCCCGCCGGCACCGCCACAGCGCCCGCAGCATGGCGGGGCGGGCGGCGGATGTGGCGTCATCGGCGTGCTCCGCCCGCGGGGTATTATGGGAAGGGGAGGGGCCGCGGGGCATCATGGGAAATGTAGTCCTCCAGGGAGTGGGGGGTGTGGGGATCCCATGGGACCCTCTGGGGTACGGACACCGCTTCCTATGGGACACGGTATCCTATGGGACAGGGATCACCCCACGGGGCATGGGACACAGGCCCGCCCACACACACCCCGTAGGATACAGAACACCGCGGGATGCGGACCCATCCCAATGGAACAGGGGTCACCTACCTGCGGGACAGGGAGCCCCATCCCGCGGGATGCGGATCCCTATGGAACAGCCCTAAACACACCCCCCGAGGGATATAACACATCCCAAAAGGGACAGCGCCCCCATGGAACACAGCCGCTCCCGTCGGGACACGGCACCACCCACGACACCGTGCTGCCCATGGGACACGGGATACGGGAAATGGAACCGCTGGGATGCGCGACATGGGATAAGGGACATGGAACCGCCGGGATGCGGGACACGGAATAAGGGACATGGAACCGCTGGGATGCGGGACATGGGATAAGGGACATGGAACCGCTGGGATGCGGGACATGGGATAAGGGACATGGAACCGCTGGGATGCGGGACATGGGATAAGGGACATGGAACCGCTGGGATGCGGGACATGGGATAAGGGACAGGGAACCGCTGGGATGCGGGACATGGGATAAGGGACATGGAACCGCCGGGATGCGGGACAGGGAATAAGGGACATGGAACTGCCGGGATGCGGGACATGGAATAAGGGACATGGAACCGCTGGGATGCAGGACATGGGATAGGGGACATGGAACCGCTGGGATGCGGGACATGGGATAAGGGACATGGAACCGCTGGGATGCGGGACATGGGATAAGGGACAGGGAACCGCTGGGATGCGGGACATGGGATAAGGGACAGGGAACCGCCGGGATGCGGGACATGGGAAAAGGGACATGGAACCACCGGGATGCGGGACATGGGATAAGGGACATGGAACCGCTGGGATGCGGGACATGGGATAAGGGACATGAAACCGCCAGGATGCGGGACAGGGAATAAGGGACATGGAACCGCCGGGATGCGGGACATGGGATAAGGGACATGGAACCGCCAGGATGCAGGACATGGGATACAGGACATGGAACCGCTGGGATGCGGGACATGGGATAAGGGACATGGAACTACCGGGATGCAGGACATGGGATAAGGGACATGGAACTACCGGGATGCAGGACATGGGATAAGGGACATGGAACCGCTGGGATGCAGGACATTGGATAAGGGACATGGAACCGCCGGGATGCGGGACATGGGATAAGGGACATGGAACCCCTGGGATGCGGGACACAGGATACAGGACACGGAGCCCTGCGGGGCATGGGATACAGAACATGGAAACCCTGGGACACGGGATGTGGGATATGGAACTCGGACACGGCTTCACCGGCACAAGGGACGTGGGACGTGGGACATGGGATCCCGGGATACACGATATGGAACCCTTGGGACAGGGGATATGGAGCCCCCTAGGATATGGGACATGGAACCCATAAGGGGCCCCTGGACACGGCTCCCCCGGGATAAGGGCATGGAAACCCCTGGGACCCGGGATAGGGGACCCGGGACCTGCCCCCCCCCCCCCCCCCGTGCTCACACACGAACAGCCCCGAGCCCCCCGCACCACTCGCTCCGGGCTCCCCGCTCCCCTTTATTGCCGTTCGCTCCCGGGGCTCGGCCGGTGCCGCTCCCCGCTCCCCGCTCCCCCTCAGCGCTCCCGGCCCCGCCGCGCCGCGCCCTGCGGAGGAACCGCCCGTTGGTGGGGCCGGGGCTGGTCACGGAGCAGAGCCCCGCAGCCCCGTCCCGGTCCCCATCCTGGTCCCCGCCTCCATCCCTACCCCCGTCCTGCTCCACATCCCCATCCCAATCCCCAGTTCTATACCCATCCCCATCCCCAGTTCTATCCCCATCCTGGTCCACATCCTCATCCCTGTCCAGGTCCTCATCCCCATCCCTACCCTCATCCTGGTCCACATCCCCATCCCCATCCCCATCCCCATCCCCATCCCCATCCCCATCCCCAGTTCTATCCCCATCCCGGTCCACATTCCCATCCCCGTAACGGTCCCCATCCCCACCCCCGTCCCCATTCCCATCCCACTCCCCATCCCCATCCCTATCCCTATTCCCATCCCACTCCCCATCCCCATCCCTATCCCTATTCCCATCCCCATCCCCAATTCTATCCCCATCCTGGTCCACATCCCCCTCCCCCTCCCCCTCCACATCCCCATCCCCATCCCCAGTTCTATCCCCATCCTCATGCCCAGTTCTATCCCCCTCCCGAATTCAAACCCCATCCTGGTCCACATCCCCCTCCCCATTCTCATCCCCAATTCTATCCCCATCGTGGTCCACAACCCCATCCCCATCCCAATCCCCATCCCTATCCCCAATTCCATCCCTATCCCCATCCCCATCCCGATCCCTATCCCCAATTCCATCCCTATCCCCATCCTCATCCCCCTCCCTATCCCCAATTTCATCCCTATCCCTATCCCCATCCCCATCCCCATCCCTATCCCCAATTCCATCCCTATCCCTATCCCCATCCCCATCCCCAATTCCATCCCTATCCCCATCCCTTATCCCCATCCCCATCCCCATCCCCATCCCCATCCCCATCCCCATCCCCATCCCTATCCCCAATTCCATCCCTATCCCCATCCCCATCCCATCCCTATCCCCAATTCCATCCCTATCCCCATCCCCATCCCCATCCCCATCCCCATCCCCATCCCCATCCCCATCCCCATCCCCATCCCTATCCCCAATTCCATCCCTATCCACATCCCCATCCCCATCCCCAATTCCATCCCTATCCCCATCCCTATCCCCATCCCCATCCCCATCCCCATCCCTATCCCCATTCCCATTCCCATTCCCATCCCCAATTCCATCCCCATCCCTATCCCCATCCCCATCCCCATCCCGGTCCCCCCCCCCCGTCCCCTCTCACCACCAGCGGCTCCTCCCTCCTCGGCGGGCACCAGGGGGGGCGGCAGCGCCAGAGCGGGGCTGAGACCTGCGGGAGAGCGGACACGGGGGGGATCCATGGGGAATCCCGAGGGAATCCGGGGTTTAATCCCAATTAATCGGGGCGTTAATACAGGGGGAACCCAGGGGGGCAGTGCAGGGGCTAATCCTTGGGGAATCTGTGGGATTCAATCCCAGGTGGTTAATCGATTACCGCAGGGTGTTAGCCAAAGGGGTAATGTAGGGGGGTTAATCGGGAGGAGTTAATTCCATGGGGTTAATCCAGTAGGGTGTTAATGTGGGGAGGATCCCGGCAGGGTAATCCCATGGGATTAATCCAGGGGGTTATTCAGGAAGGGGTAATGTGGGGAAGGGTAACACAAGGGGTGTAATGGGGGGGGGGACACACAATAAATCTGAGTGGGGGTAATTCATGGGGATAATCATGGGGAGAGGGATAATCCATCGGGGTAATCCATAGGGGATCATTTAGGGAAGTGTAACCCGAGCGGGATAACGGGGATTGGGGGGGGGGGGAGATAACAACAGGGGTTAATCTGGGAGAGGGATAATCCAAGGACAGGGATAACATGGAGGGATGGGGGGGGATAATCCCGGTGTGTGGGGCACAAACCCGGGATAAACCAACCTGGGGGGGGGGGGGGGGTCACCCCATTGCGGTGCATACCTGCAGGGCCGCGGGATGCTCCAGGTCCCGCTTGCCCCCCGGGTACCAGCCATGGGACCAGTGCTGGCCAGGGCAGGGGGGCACAGCAGAGGCCAGCAGCAGCAGGGCCAGCAGCAGCAGGGACCCACGGGGTGCCATGGCCGGGGGGGCTGTGGGGACAAGGGGGGGACTTGATCCATTGGCACCCACACCAGGGGCACCCTTGGGGCTGGGGGGGGGGGTGTGGGAGTGGAGAAGGGGTGGAGCACCCATGGGTGCTGATTGGGGTGTTCTGGGGATGGAGATGCAGAGGGTATGAGCACCCATGGGTGCTGATTGGGATGGTTTGGGGATGGAGGTGCAGTGGGTATGAGCACCCATGGGTGCTGATTGGGATGGTTTGGGGATGGAGGTGCAGTGGGTATGAGCACCCATGGGTGCTAATTGGGGTGTTCTGGGGATGGAGATGCAGAGGGTATGAGCACCCATGGGTGCTGATTGGGGTGGTTTGGGGATGGAGATGCAGCGGGTATGAGTACCGGGTGCTGATTGGGGTGGTTTGGGGATGGAGGTGCTTCCTGGGGTGGGGATGGAGATGCTGAAAGGGGTGATGACCCTGGGATGCTCTTTGGGATGGTTTGGGGATGGAGATGCAGTGGGAATGAGCACCCATGGGTGCTGATTGGATGGTGGGATGGAGTGCCGGGGGAGATAGGTGACGACTCTTTGGGATGGTTTGGGGATGGAGATGCAGTGGGAATGAGCACCCATGGGTGCTGATTGGGATGGTTTGGGGATGGAGCTGCAGCAGGTATGAGCACCCATGGGTGCTGATAGGGGTGGTTTGGGGATGGAGGTGCAGAGGGTATGAGCACCCATGGGTGCTGATTGGGGTGGTTTGGGGATGGAGGTGCTTCCTGGGGTGGGGATGGAGATGCTGAAAGGGGTGATGACCCTGGGATGCTCTTTGGGATGGTTTGGGGATGGAGATGCAGACGCTATGAACACCCATGGATAGATGCAGTGGGTATGAGCACCCTTAGGTGCTCTCTGAGGCAGATTCCAGCATGGAGATGCTGGAGGGCCTGAGCACCCCGGGATGCTGCTGGAGTTTGGGTCCAGCTTCGACAGCCCTTCTGAGGGTGCCATTGGGGTCTGATTCGGGGTGATCAGGAGCATCCCCCCCAGGGTCCCTGCATGGCACCAGCACCCCCCAACCCACCCCATAGCCTGGATGCAGGGGCAAGCTCACCTGGCTGGGTGATGG